GAGCTGCTGAGCAGCCCCTGGAGCTCTCACACCCGTGAGGAATCGATTCCTGCCTCCATTCACCATTTGGAGGGGACAAACCCAAACAGAGCTGGGATTGCTGTCACAGCAGCTCGGTGGGGTCACAGCCATCAAAACGGGGATCTGCCCTCCCCAAACGCACAGCCAGGAGCTGGGATGTGCTGCTGGGAGCCAACTTTGGGTCAAACAGGGATGAATGAATCCTTCATTTTTCAAATTTCAATTTTTCCAAACCCGAATCCAGCAGAGCAGAGCAGGACAGGACAGGGGTGTGCAGGAAACAGAGCCCATCTGCAGCACTGCAGTGACCCCCTGCAGGAAAACATTTTCCCAGAATTACAGGCTGGATAAACTGGGTCTTCACAGCTGCTCTGGTTTGTAAAAGCTCAGAGGAAGCTACTGTTTAAAGGACCTTGGCCTCCAAGAGAAAAAAAATGTGCCCAGAATCTCCTTTATCTCCCAGATAAGAGGGTCTGAAACGTCAAATCATCGCCTTCTCTCGTGGGGATTCAAAGCAGCAAAATTGGTGCCAAGTCAAGAGAGAGGTCAGGGGAGGATGAGGAAAAATCTGGAGGTGCAGAGGGTTTAGGGGAAAGGGAAAGCAGAACATGGGAGGCACAGGGAGAGAGATCCCAGTGCAGAACCCAGAGAGAGAGCACAGAGGAGAGGACAGGAGCAGCAGGATGGAAAACAGGGCTGGGAGAGATGGGACAGGGCCAGAGGGAAATTCAGCAGCACAGAGGATACCCCAGAGGAAAAGGTGACAGCAAGAGATAAAGAGAGCTGGGGGGGCTGGCTGTGCTTGAGCCCTCGAAAACGTGTGTGAAAAACTGACTCAGTGCCRGGGTTTTTATTTGTTTCAAATTTCTGAGTGTCCTTCTTAACCCACCCAAGCAAGTCATCACCAACAGAGGCCCACACAGGCTGCAGGACTCTCCTGCTTTTGGGATGCTCAGGTCTCTCTGGAATCAGCACATCCTTGCAAAAATWGAATTGGAGGGAGAAGCCCTTGTTGTGAAACTCTTGTGGGCTTTGTTCTGGCCCTGATGTTTGGGTCAGTGTGGTCTCTCAGCCTCACCTCGCCCTCCTCTGCCTCCACTTCCACACTGAGTAATTCCCTTCCCCTTTGGTTTTACAGCCTTGGGCTGTTCATCATGTTCCTGCAGCAGCTCAGGCTGTGGGCACAGCTCCCTCCATTCCTGCTCCTAAATCAATCCTTGCTCAGCCCTCCCAGCAGCTCCATGGCCCCAAAGCCAGAGCTCCAGGCAGCACTGGGGTTCGGGTAAAGGCTGCTGATTTTCCTTCTCTCACTCAAGGTCATCAGCAAAACACATTGGGAATGTCTGGGCAGACAGAGGCTGCTTCAATTGTCTTCACAAAGGGCAGGGGAGGGTTTGGCATTTCTGTGAAAGGTTAGGTTGTGCACAGCCTTTATCAGGCACGGAGGAAGCAGGATGTGTGCTCTGCAGGAAAGGACAATTCCAGTGTGGTGACTGCTCTGATATCCCCGGGTCAGGGGCACATCACACAGTGAGGGGTGACAGATATTTGGGGGGATTGTGGGCACATCACAGAGCTGAGGGGTGACATAAATATTTGGGGTATCCCGAGCACATCACAGAGCTGAGGGGTGACATATTTGGGGGAATTGTGAGTACATCACACAGTGAGGGGTGACAGATATTTGAGGGGATTGTGAACACATCACCCAGCTGAGGGGTGACACAGATATTTGGGGGAATCATGAGCACATCACACATCTGAGGGGTGACAGTGATATTTGAGCAACACAGCAGCGTTCCCCAAATATTTGGGAATCTTTTGCTTTGCAGAGCCCAGGAGGAGATCTGGGCTAAGGGCTGGGTAATGACTCTGGTGGCTGCTGCTCCACGTTTTGCAGGAGGTGAGGATGAAAGGCTTTGTTAACCCACATTTGCTGCTCCCACCCCGGGGATTTGTTTGGAGGTGTCAGACCCAGCAAAGCCCGGCCTGGCTGGCAGGGAATGGTTTGGCAGGAGCAGGAGGGCAGCCCCCAGTTCTGCCAGGCCCTCTGCAGGGATTCACTCAACTCTCATCCTCCCCTGGCCAGGAGAACATTGCTGACCTGGGCTGAGGGCTGTGTTCTGTACTCTCCCCTCTCTCCACCACCAAAACTCTCAGCCACTCCCTTTCCCAATTTTTCCAAACCCGATAAATTCATGCATCCAGCTGGGCACGCTGCAAAAACCCACGCTGTAATCAGACCACAAAATCCCCTTTGAAAGCAAAGGAGAGTGARGGAAATGCTCTTGCAGCAGGGAGCCCTGTCAGGAGGCACAGAAAAAAACTGTGGACAGCCCCAAATTTATAAAACACAGCTGGGTTTGACCTGAGTCACCTGCAATCCCTGCCAAGGGCTGAGCTGGCAGAACAAATGCCCTCGAGGAATCTGCACTAAGGGGGCAGGAATTTGCTCTCTGAGGAGCTGCTGCTGCTCCTGGTCCTTCCCAAACACCCAGAGCTAAAGGAAATGYCTGTGAGGATGAGAGCCTTGCCTGCCCAGGCTGATGACTCCACGGGGGATTCCAGTGGGGGTGTTAAAGGCTGGCAGAAGTTTCTCTCCGAGTTCCAGAGCTTTATTCTTGAACACCTGTTAAAAGCAGAGAGGAGGATAAATATTTGATGGGACAAGTGACAGAGGATTCCTTCAAMCCACGTTTCCAAGCACAGCACTGTAAAACACCAGCAGAACCCCCTGTTTGAGCTGTGCTGTGCCCTGGCTCCCTGCACCAGAGATCTGAACCAAGACTCTCACTTAAGAGAGTCCCAAATCTGCCCTAAACCAGCACCAAAGCCTCAGCCTGGACCAGAGCAGCTCCCAGCACCTTGATCTGACCTGACCCAAAGAGTGCTCTCCAAATTCCTCCCATYCCCAGGGTGGCAGAGAACACAAGGAGCTGCAATGACCGAGTTAAAATCAGAAGAAAATCCTTCTGGGCTGAAGCACTGCTGGATTTACCACATGGGCTTGCCCAGCTCGTGCCACCTCCTGCTGTAAAACCCCTGATTTCCAACAATCTTCCCCTTGCCAAGAAGGATTCATGGTTTCATGGCTAAGCTGCTSCTTTTCCATTTGCAATGCCTCACTTTTGGGCTTTCCAGTCCAACTGCAGCTTAGGGTGGCTTGCAGCACAAAGCAGGCACACACAATTATTTTGGGACCAACTGATACCAGCACTAATCTTCGCTGCAGAGATTAGTCCCGATCAAGAGAAGCCTCTAAGTGACTTAGGAGATAAAGCACAAGCCTTTTACCTCTAGCCCTGGCGTGGGGGCTCTCAGAAAGCAGGAATTTACTGCTCTAAAAATACAGCACTGAGGAAACCTGAGCTCTCCTGGGGGCTTACAGACCTTTGATTCCCTCCCAAGGAGACAGGGGGTTGTTTCAGAAAGGAAAGTAAGAGGCAGGGACTTAGGTTTTGCCTTTCAGCCCRGTGACACTGACTGGATAAGTGACAGGCACTGCCCCAGCTGCTGACTGGACTTCAAGAGGTCACTGCTGGAGCTTTGTGGTTTAATGTGGTTCCTTTTTTGCTCTGTTGATCTGAAACCTGTTGAAGCTGTCACTGAGACAGACTTTGAGTCGGGGCACTGAGTCTTTGAGAGTTTTCCCTGGAGGGAAATCACAGATGGAAGTGGTTCCTGGAATTCATTTAAAATGCAACTGAAGCTGCTCCTGTGAGTTGTGGATCAATGGTGTCACTGTGCWGGAGCTGTCCCACCCTCTGTGGTGGGGCAAAACCAGAGCTGAGCTCTCCTTTAGGGCCACAACTCCCTCCTGAACCGGAGCTTCTGCTCAAAGACTCCCAGGGCAAAGGAATAATCTCTTCATCTCCCTGAGGCAGCTGTGGAATTCCAGCCCAGGCACATCATCAAACAGATTATGGCRTTATGGGCTGGCCTCTGCCAGGCTGGGGAGGAAGGAGGGAAGTGGAAATGGGAATTCCTGCTTTATCCAGGACTCACCAGAAGGGCTGTGACACCGGGACACTTTGTGGGGCTGCCTCACTGTCCCAAAAGCTGTCAGRRCAGAWTCTGCAATCCCASAATGGTTTGGGGTGGAAGGGAACCTAAAGATCCCCTAATTCCAACCCCTRCCRTGGRCAGGGTCACCCTCCAGCAGGTGTTCTTGTACCCTGTCCTGTTTGCCACCCCCCTCCTCAACCCCAGGGCACTTTATCTCAGCAATTCCTGCTGCAGAGGGATTTTTCAGCAGAGTGTGAAGCACCTGCCCCTCACCAGCTGCCCTCCTCAGCACCAGCCCCAGGCAGCTCTGTGATAATGTGTGATGAAATCTCACCCGACTCGAAATAGAGAGGAACAAGCACAAAGACAAAGATCCCCACAAATGGCATTTCCCCGGGGGAGCAATGTGTCCAACTGCAAACGTGTCCTGCTGGAATTGCCCACAGGAGAAAAGATCTCTGGCAAATGAGCCGTGTGTGCAAGGTAATTATGCGAGGCTTAATTAAAGGAACATTTAGTGGCATTTCCATATCCACAAAAATGAGGGGTTTAGCCTGTTTTCATGGGGGGATTGTGTGAGAGAAGCCAGTTCCTCACTGRGGACAGCAGAACTCAGACCAACCTCCTCTCCTGTCAGGTAGTAGGCAGCCAGGAGCCCTCCGATGTAGCGGATGTTCACCTCGAACAGGGAGGCTTCTCCGTTCTGTAAAAACACAGGGAAATGGCTGAGAGGGGCTGCACAGGGCCAGGCAGAATTCAGAGTCCTGGGTGTGCCAATCCTCACCCAGAGCATGGCTTTGTGCCCGGGAGCTGTGCCCAGGAGCTCATAGCTCTGTGCCCAGCAGCTCATAGATCTTCTCGTGCTCAGCAGTGCCAGCAGGAGGGAAGAGAAACACCCCAAACTGCCCCATTTCTCCCCTGAGTCAGGCAGGGCACAGCCCAGAATTACAGAATATCCTGAGTTGGGAGGGACCCACCCCGGCCTTGCCCAAACACCCCAATAATGGTCCCCTGTGCACCCCTGATTCCCACCCCACTGAAATCCCAAATCCAGGGAGCTCTTCCACCTGCAGGGGACAGAGGGGCACCCAGACCTGTGCCCTTCACAAACCCCAGTGAGAGCTCTCTGGGGATGAGGAGTGGAATTGCTTGGGACAGATCAGAGCACCCAGTTCCCAGCAGAGCTGGTGGAGTCCCAGCCTTGCCTTTCTGGACTGGGAGAGCTCCTTACAGAGCCAATATTTAATTAATTTRCCCCTTGCCTCCCCGTGCTGTGCTCCCTGACTCCACAGATCAATCCACAGCATTCACTCTTGTCTTTACAGATCAATCTATTCTGCAGGCCGAGATTAAAAGCTTTTATGAAATGCAGATAAATTATCTCCCAGTTGATTTTGTCCCTTGTTTATCGATTCAGTAACAGACTGAGACCATTCACCAGATTTATCAGATGTGGGCTGCCTTTTATGAATCCATGAATGCCAGTGGTGCCCTCCCAAATGATGCTTCTCTACAAAGGCAGCTGCAGGCATTGTTCCCGTGGGAGAACCATTTCTCACAACAACCAGACTGGCATTAAACAAATAAAAGTTCAAACTGCACTTTGGTTTTAGCATTCTSTGTGTGTGTGCCACTGATGAGATGCCATCAGGGGATGAGGAATACATGGCAGGGACAGAGAAGGGACAGCACCCTTCAGCTGCCAGCACTGCTGTGCTGCACCCACAGCTCCAGAAGATCCAGAAAGGCCCAGGGAGAAGCAGCTCTGGCCATTTACAGAGGTGATGCCCTTCCTTCCAAACCCTGGCTCTCTCTGTGCTGCTGAGGTGTCCCACAGTGCCAGCAGTGACACCACCAAAGGACCCAGACAGGGAGAGCTGGGTTTACAACCTCATTCTAATTTAAAAAGGAAAACTTGTCTTATCGCAGGCAGACATTTACCTGAGATGAAACARAACCTGTTCTTTGAAGAGCAAAATCTCCTTGGAGTGTCTAATAATTAGTGTCTGTTTTGGTAAGCCAGCCCAAAACACARGAACCATTAAACACTGAACTTTCTTTCCAGACAGACTCGGGGAGGCTGAGCTGGTGGCTCCAGAAAATGGGGTGAATCACTGCATTATTCCCTTTGGCTTTAAAGAGACAATAAATAATCAGCTGAGTGCTTTTTCCCCCTCCCCAGAGCTGCTGTTTTCCCTCCCAGATGGCTCCCGGGGATGGTTGTGATCAGGACTGGCTGTTGGTGACACAGACAGGCATTCCCAGCAGCTGACTCACCACATTCAAGTCAAAGCTCTTCTCCACCCACTGCTTGGCTTCTTGGAATTCCTCCTCGAGTTCCATGATGTAGAGGGTATCTAAGGCATCGATCACAGTGGCTCCTCGAAGGCCTCCTGCATGAAAAAAAAACACAACAGAGGGGTGAAGCCACAGCTCTGAATCCCAGTGCCAGCTCTGGGGGTGTCTGGGTGGGATCTTCTGCCAGGGCTGGGGGAGCTCTGCCACCCAAAATTGGAGAGGCTGAATTTTCAGTGGGCTGAGAGAAATCTGAATTCTGGAAGAATCCCCCCAAGCAAGAGCCCAGGCTCCACACCCAGCCACAAGTGCAAGGCTCGGCCTTGTTTCCAGTCCTGTCTTGGCCAAAGTGGCCCAGCAGCTCCAGCTTTAACCATTGTTTAGGTGCAAAGCCACACTCAGCCTCTTTCCAAACCACCTCCAAGCACAGCTTGTCAGAAAATTGTATTTTTGTTGTGCAAGAGCATCCAAGGCAGGACTTTGATCCTTCTGCCCTGATGCACAGGTGGTTTTGTGAGGCACCAACATTTCTGCACCGACACAAAGCCCAGCCCTTCCTGGAGGCTGAGAGCAGAAACCTCAGGGAACCTTGAGCAGAGAGGGTGATTTGGGGCTGTTCCTTTGGTCCCTGGGAGCACRCTGCCACTCCCAGCAGGTGACAAAGGGACACGAAGCTGAAGGGTGTCATTTGTGTAGGAAATGTCCTGTGTGACACACACAGAGCTCCCAGGGAGGGGTGACACATCCCAGGAGGGTGTGAGGGCACCCAACCCCACTGCAGTGCAGGTAACATGGAATTAGGGATGGAGCAACCCTGCTTTGGGGCAGCTCAGGGCTCCAGCCTGGAATCAGCAACAACCACCCAGTCTGGAATCATCTCCAGCCTGGAATCATCTCCAGTCTGAAATCATCTCCATCCACCCAGTCTGGAATCATCTCCAGCTTGGAATCATCTCCAGCCACCCTGTCTGGAACCATCTCCAGCCTGGAACCATCTCCAGACATCCAGAGCTCCAGTCTGGAATCATCTCTAGTCTGCAATCATCTCCAGTTTGGAACCATCTCCAGTCTGAAATCATCTCCAGCCACCCAGGGCTCCAGTCTGGAATCATCTCCAGTCTGAAATCATCTCCAGCCACCCAGGGCTCCAGTCTGGAATCATCTCCAGTCTGGAATCATCTCCAGCCACCCAGGGCTCCAGTCTGGAATCATCTCCAGTCTAGAATCATAATCATCTCCAGCCACCCAGGGCTCCAGTTTGGGATCATCTCCAGTCTGAAATCATCTCCATCCACCCAGTCTGGAATCATCTCCAGCCTGGAATCATCTCCAGTTTGGAACCATCTCCAGCCATCCAGGGCTCCAGTCTGGAACCATCTCCAGTTTGGAACCATCTCCATCCACCCAGTCTGGAATCACCCCCAGCCATCCCTCTGGGATGTGGCAGGGATGTGAAGCTGTCTCTGCACCAGCACACACTCCCTGCTCAGCTGAGCCACACTCCCACCCACCCCTGGCAGACCTCTGGGATTCTCTGCCAGCAGAGATGTTTGGATGAGGTTCAGGTTTTGTTTTTGCAGCAGAAGTTCCTCTGCTGTCCCAAGGCTGTCCCAAGGCTGTCCCTTTGCACACAGACTCGCACACACACTCTGCTGTACCCAGGGATTTTCCTGAGTGCCTCAGGTCGGTTCCTCCTCCTCAATAACAGATTTTCAGCTGCTCTCCCCAATCCCCCCGGCATCCCCAGCCTTTCACTGCGTGCTCAGACASGTTTGGCACTTCTGTAACACCTCCAGTGCTGCTTCAATCCCAGCTCTGCTTGAGAGAGGAAAGCCCTGCTGGATGGAGGGGAGAGGGAGGCAGAGGTCACTCGTGTGTCACAAACTTTTGCTCTGCTCTCACGAAGAGAAGAGGGGACTGTGTTTGATGTGCCTCATCCCTTCAGCCCTCAGAAGTGCTCAGACCCACCCATTCCGGGCTCATTCCTGCTCTCAGCATTCCTCTCCCGTAGGGAAKGATCCTGCCTGATTTTGTAGATGTTACAAGATTGCAGTTTTGACACTTTTCAGCCAGCCAGCACATCATTGCTTTAATAAAAACCCAAGCAGGACTTTACTGCTCAACTACAGATTGCTGCCTTTTGGAYGCTGTCTGCATCCAAAGCAGGGGCTGTGGCAGAGGAGGGAGGCAGCTCAAACAKCCTCCAGAAATCCATTTATTCCCTCAGGCCTGGGAAATGATCATCTAAGCAGAGTCATCTCCRGGAGCAGGGGATGGATGGAGTCAAACAGTCACTGGATCAACCGGTGGGCTGAGGTGGGTCTGCAATGTTTGCCAAAAGCACTGACCATGACAAACAACATCATTGCAGGCAGCGCTGCTTTTATCAGCCCTAATGATTCTTCAATATTAATGATTATGTGATTTTTATACACTTGCCCATTAGCGGGGAGAGACGTGACAGGGAGGCAGGGAAAGCATTTTAAAAAGGGAAGGAAGGGCAGTGGCACCTGAGGCTGTTACTGTGATATTCTGAGAGGAAAATCACACTCCCAGGCTCAACTTAATTTGATGATACAATCAACAAAAGCTTTTCATAATCTGCAGAGACACAATGAGGAAAGTTGGATTTGCTCGAGCCAAACGGGAGACAAAGAGACAATAAACTCACCATTTTCTGGGATGATTAATTGAAGTGAGAAACATTGCAGGAATTGACAGAGCCTTTTATGTTTTGAGCCTTTAAGAGGGTGTGTGGCTCTGGGGATTTGGGAACACGCTCTGCTCTGCTCCAGCAGCTCCAGTGGCTCAGCTTTCCCCACAGAGTGGAGGCCAAACCTCGCTCCCCTGCTGCTCTGTCTTTTGTGTCACATTTATTAAACATTTGTTTTAAACACACCCCGTGCATGGAGTGACCTGGGGCTGTGTGTTTTGTACCGGGGGCTGGGCTGTGTTTCCTTTGAAGATGCTCCGAGACTTCTTCCCTGCAGCTCCTGAGCTCTTCCCAACACTGGGATGGGTGAAAAGGCATCTCCTTCCCCTCCTCAGCCATGGAGCAGAGCAGGAGCTGGCTGTGAGTGTCCCCAACCAGGACAGAGGACACCCAAGGGTCCCTGACCCCCTGAGCCTGGCATTTCTCAGCTCCAGGAGCATCTTGGCTCCGTCCTGCTCGGGCTTTGCACACCCAGCACACTGAGCTGGAAGAACCCACAAAAATCATCCCCTCCACTGGGACCAGGGAAAGATCAGGGAGCTCAGGAGGGATTCAGGAAGGCTGGGGGCATTTCTGAGTGTCCCAGCAGCTCTGCCCAGAGCTGCCCTGGCAGTGATGATCAGGAGAGGAGAGGAGAAGCAGCAGCTGATGGGAGCAGACAAAGGTTCGCGTCTCCCTGAACTGAAGGAGGGCCGTGCCACCCTGGATTTGCTCTTTTGTGCAGCAGAAGAATGCAGAAAGGAGTGTGGGCAACAAGGCTGCTCTGTTCCTGCTCCCTCCCACCCCAGGAGCTGCACTGAACCCTGCTACAGAGAGCACTAACGAACATTAACATAATTAACAGCACGCTGGGGAAAGGTGCTGGGTGGAGAGGGCTGGCATTGTACCCACACTGTGCCCCATGGCTCAGGGAATGKGATCTAATTCCAGTCTGGAGGGACWACAGAGCTCCASAAGGGCCTTYACAGMAAYATTCAGCATTAAAAMCCCCTAAAACCCCCAAAAGGCTGGAGCAGCTCGCTGTGCTGGGGCAGATAATGAGAGTGAGAAGGGCTCATCCTCTGCCCCTGTCCCTGCTTTGCCCCAAACACCCTTTTGGGGTGAGCGATGCCAGCCCAGGGATTGACCTGTACAGGTCCAGACTGAGCTGTCCCTGCCTTTCCAACACCCAACACCAAGCCAGCCCCCGGAGATGAGCAATGGCTGAATTTCAGAGAATTTCAGAGAATTTCAGAGAATTTCAGAGAATTTCAGAGGAGCAGCTGCGATGGGAGGGACGGAGAGCGCTGCCTTCCCTCGCTCCCCACTTCCCAAAATAGCCACTGTGGATATCACAGGCCAGAGAGGAGACTTGAAGGGCTCCCAGCTGCAAGTCTGGCCCTTGAGAGCCTTAAAAAAAGCCACAAAAGTGATGCTTCAGCAGCCAAGTAGCTACGAGCGGGGTCTGAAATAGCCCTTCTCCTCAGGAAGGAGAGCTTCTTCCAAAGGCTCTCCTGAATCCATCCCACAATCAGAGCCCAGAGCGAGCTCAGAGCTTGGGAAATCTCATCTCTAATGCCCTCAGCCCCATTTGGCAAAGAACCCTCGGTGAGGTTACTGRGAGAACAGAAACCAAATCCTTCCTTTCCAAGAGAACCATTAAAAGCCCGCACAGAAACGCGTTGTGCCAACGCTGGAACCAAGAGCACGAGCTGTTAGCAGGACACCAGMCCTGATCCTGATCCTACACAAAGCTCAAATACCACAGGACAGGCAAAAACAGCTCTTTGCTAACTCCAAGAACAGAATTTACAACGGAAAGGCAAGAGCAGGAGGGGGAGGAACGGAGAGYGGCGCGATGTAAACCCAGATCAAAAATGAAAGGTCCTGACTCCCACTGTTCTCGTGTCAAATCGTGTTTGTCAAAACAGAAATTAGTGCTGAAATCTTGTTTGGAATAAAAATTAGGAKGCAGATTGTGTGAGATATGATGAACTCGTTAACTATCAAGGCACAAGGGGCTCTGGTTGTCACTGTTGTTTACCTTCTCCTCTYGGGGTGCAGGTGGGAAAACACGAGATCCTTCCCCTGAAGGCTTCAATTAAAACCAGTGCCCCGTTAGAGGAGTCTGAAAAATGACCATYAAGTGCTGCTTTTCTTGTTCTTTTTGGTCTTTTTCTCCCTGTCAGGGCTTGGAGAGCAGCCTGAACTGCTGACATTTATCCCGAGATCTGCGTGAGAAGCCTGGGACYGCGCCACCACACAGCTCCTGGCTGGTGGCAAATTGTCCAATTCTGGGAAAAAAAACCACACAGAGACGTTTTACACAGCTCAGGATTATCTTGGCAACAAAGTAAACTGCAAAAMTCACTGCAGCTCCTTGAAAAATCCRCCCTGCAGCTGAGA